TTTTTTGGTCTTGTTGAGACAGGGTCTCACTATACAGTTCAAGCTGGCCTTGAGCTCACTTTGTAGCCCAGGCTGGTCTCGAACTCACAACGATCCTCCTGCCTCAGCCTCCCAAGTGCTGGGATTACAGGTGTGCGCCACCACGCCTGGCTGTTTGTATTCTCCTTGCTTTGGTTCAGATTTCCTAAAACAAAAGACAGCCGGGGCCTCTAGAGGATAACAGTGGGCTGCACTTGGTTTTCCTTTTGTTTGTTTCTTTGATTTTTTTTTTTTTTTGAGGCAAGGTGTCACTATGTAGCCCAGGATGCCCTTGAACTTGCTGCGATCCTCAGCCTCCCGAATGCTGCGGTTACTGCCATGCTATGTGCCCTTCCCCCCTGCCAGGCCACCCTGCTTGTAGCCGGCCGACCGTGGACTGAAATCTCTGCACACTGTGATCCAAAATACACCTCTCCTCCTTCGCTCTGTGCTTGTCAGGCATTGTCCCAGGGACAGGAAAGTAACAAAGACACGCTTATTCTGTACCTTGCAGAATACCTTAGTTCTCTGTGACGAAAAACTGTAGTGAAACATACACGAGATAGAATTTACCATCTTGGGCTGAGTGGACAGTTTCTGATCCGAAGGACATTCACACGGTTGTGCAACCAGCCTCCAGAACTTTTCATCTTGCAAAACAGAAACATGAAAACAACTTCCCCCTTCTCACGATGAAAACTGCTTTCATACTGGGTTACCTTCACTTGCCACACCTGCGACCACAAGCTGCTATTTATTCTTTGTCCAAGCGAGTAAGCGACGCTCTGGGCAGCCCTGTGCCACCTCCTCCGCTCCCTGGGCGAGAAGCGGGGCCTCGCGAACAGGTCACCCGCAGCAGAGCCGGGACAGATGACGCTGGGGCCCTCATCAGGAGACCAGGACCCCAGGACTCGCCGCCAGTTTCACCTGCTACGTGAGTCCTGCCTGGAGGGGATGGAGATTCCGGAGGTCCCCGCATGTCCTCCTGGCCATGGCTGGCTCTGTTTCTTGCCTGAGGGTCCAGCTGTGGTGAGGGGTGGCGGGTCCTGCCCCTCTCGGCAGAGGTGAGGCGTTACAAGCAGTGACCGGTGTGTGTGCAGAGGACCGTGGTGGGTGGCCCAGTGTGACCCGGATGTCAGCTTGCCTTTCGCTGGGCAGACCAGGAGCCAAAGCCTAGAAAGGCGGGATGACTGCTGGATGCCGGAGGCCGGGCGGTGGCAGTGGGGCTGGGATCAGAACCGGGTCCCCAGGAGGCCCCCGGGTCTGCAGGGGATGCCCCTAGCAGGGAGCTGGGTCTAGAGGGACACGAGGCACAGGGTACGGTGCCTGGCAGGGTGGGTCCTGTGTCCCCAGATGCTGCTCTTCTTTCTCTTGATGTTTGCCTCTGATTTCGGAGGGTCCCCGGAGCCTGGGGCGTAGTCTCCAGGCTGAGCCGAGGCCGGGTGGTGAGGTCCCTGCGGAGGAGGAGGAGGAGTGCGGGCAGCGGCCAGGCCACGGGGCCCTCGGGCAGCGCTGGGCCTCTCCCTGTCCCTCGGGGCCACCATTTGCAGGTGGGGGCTGGGCCCTGCTGCCCTGGGAGCTGGGGTCACATAGGCTGCTGGCCGTGGTCACCCTGCTGAGGCTGTAGGACCTGTGGTGGGCTCGGCGGCGGCGGCCCCGGGACCTGAGGCCCAGGGCCTCTCGGAAGCTCTCCCGGAAGCGGCTGGACAGGAGGCTGTAGAGCACGGGGTTGGCGGCTGAGCCCAGGTAGAAGAAGACGCCGGACGTGACATGCAGGTACTGGAAGGCCAGCAGCAGGCTCTCTGTCCACTGCGACACGAAGCTCCACATGAGGCGGTCGGCGTGGAACGGGGCCCAGCAGATGGCGAACACCACGACCAGCACCACTGCGGGACAGAGAGGCGCCTGGGTGGCCGCGGGGGCCTCTCCCGCTTCCCAGCTCCTCCTGGGCCACCGGCCGTCACCCACCAAGAACCTCGGACCCTCACCTGTCCTGCCCTGCCCCGCCCACAGCCCATGGGACCTGCCGGCCGATCCCCTCCTGTGGAGTTCAGAAGGGGGCTCTTAGAGTGGTGGCCGAGCTCCTAGCCAGACAGACTGTGGGCTAAGGTCCCCTCTGGGTGCCACTGGGGCCATGCTTGCCGATGCACAAGTGCAGAGGGGAGGAGAAGGGGCAGGCGCTCAGAGAACAGCACACACTCACACACACACACACACACTCACTCACACACGAACACCTGCCCTGGCCCTGGCCCACACCCAGCTCCCCCAGCCCGCTGAATAACCGTTGTGGTGGCTGTTGTTTTTGAGACACGGTCTCACTGTGCAGCTCAGGCTGGCCTTGAACTCACTATGTAACCCAGGCTGGCCTGGAACTCACAGAGATCCTCCTGCTTCAGCCTCCTGAGGACCGAGATTACAGGTGTGTGCCACCACGCCTGGCTTGTCTGAGTTTCTGTCGTCTGCGTCTCCAGCTCACTGTCCTCCCTCTGCAGTGTCTCCCCATCTGACGCTGCCCCCAGCGCGGCTTTCCTCGGAGTCCCAGGTGTCTTGTGAGCAGTGTTACCCACCCACAGCCTGGTGCACAGCGGCTCCTCACTGAGTGGAGGAGGAAAAGAGAGAGGGTTCCAGGCCACCAAGCGAGAGCCCACCTTCCGGGCTGAGCGCCTCTGCGGCCGTGCTGGGGGGAAAGGCGTGGGGTGGCAGACAGGGCACCCCGGGGCGAGCACAGTGGGGCCAGCCCCACTTAGGCTGCACAGGGACCCAGTCCAGGCAGCGGGGCTGGGGGTCTGGGCTGGGGTGGGGCTGCGCCACCCATGGCCCTGACCCGTGTGCTCGCACAGGTGGGCACCTATGTTCAGCCGCCTGGCCATGGGTGGGCGTGGCCTAAGCGCCACCAATCAAAACCCTTCCCTGGGTCTTCCGGGCGGTCCTGGGTGTGACGTGGGGTGCAGCTCTCCAGCAGGAGACCCTGAGCCCCGCAGGCTGCTCCGGGAGGAAAGAGCCCGGATGCAGTTGGGAGGAGGACGGCAGTCCCGGAGGGCCCGGGTCCCTGTTCCTGGGCGCCCGTGGATTCTTAGTAACTCTGAACAAAGGACCCTGCAGACGACACAGTCCACTGCGCCCTGAGCCAAGCGCCCACGCCTCCCCAGGGGCGGAGCTTGTGGAAGGAGATTAGGTTCTGAGCGCAACAGCTACCGCAGCGAGTCGGGTCACCGGGGTCACCGAGGGCATCCCCCGGGCTCCCCCTCTGAGCAGCGGCCCCTGCGCAGCCCTCCTGCTGGGCCACTGTGTTTACGCCTGCAGAACATGGACAGGAGTTTCCAAACACACGGGAGCCAAAACACACCTCTGCTCCTCCACTTCGTTGGTGTCGGGTCTTGGGCCCCAGCGACAAGGAAGTGACTAAGACAGCCCTTCACATTCATCTCTGCTGTAAGCTGCTGGGAAGATCATCTAAAAGGGCCCAAGGTCCAGGCGTGGTGGAACTCACCTGTGATTCCAGCACTCGGGAGGCTGAGGCAGGAGGATCGCCATGAGTTCCAGGCCGGCCTGAGCTACACAGTGAGTTCAAGGCCAGCCTGAACTGCATAGTGAGAGCCTGTCTCAAAAAGACCAAAAAACTACCCCAAGACATGAATATAGAAGGGTCTGCATACATGTTGGGACAGACATACACACGCGTTCTCTAAACCTTCATAAAGCCCCCTCCGGAGGCCCCGGGAGCCCGGCCGCACACCCAGTGCCCGGCTCAGCCTCTTCCTGCAGCGACACTTACCCAGCATTTTGGTCACCTGCGTGCGGCCCCTGTCCCGCAGCGGGAGGGCGCGCGCTGCGCGGGACCCGGCTCGGGCCGAGAGCAGCCGCCGGTGGCGCCGCAGCCGCAGCCCGACGCGCAGGTAGAGCGCGCTGATGGCTCCCAGGGGCAGGCAGAAGAAGAGCAGCGCCGTGCCCTGCACCACCAGGCCGTAGGCGCCCCGGGAGCGGACGAGCGTGCACACGGCCGAGTCGGGCACCGCGCCCCGGCAGGGCACCTGCAGCTGCTGCAGGCCGTGCAGGCTGGCGTTGGGCACGGCGCAGAGCACCGCCAGGCCCCAGAGCAGCAGGAGCGCGCGGCGCACGCGGGCGCGCGTCACCCCGGCCCTGGCCTGCAGGGGGCGCACCACGGCCATGTAGCGCTCCACGCTCAGCGCCGTGACGCTGAGCACCGAGGCCAGGCACACGGTCTCGAAGAGCAGCGTGCGGAAGAAGCAGCCGCCGCTGCCCAGCAGGAAGGGGTAGTTGTGCGCCAGCTCGTAGAGCTCCAGGGGCAGCCCCAGCAGCAGCAGCAGCAGGTCGGCCGCGGCCAGGCTGAGCAGGTAGAGGTTGGTGGGCGTGCGCATGGCCCGGCGGCGCAGGATGACCGTGCAGGTCAGCGCGTTGCCCACGGTGCCCACCGCGAAGATAAGCAGGTACACGGTGCACATGGGCGCGAACAGCTCCGTCCGCCGCGGCCCCAGGTACTTGAGTCTCAGGGCCTCGTCGGTCAGGTTCAGGTCCTCGGGATCGAAGTCCCCTGTGGGTTCACTGCCATTGCACGGCGGGGGGCTCCTTGCGTCCCCAGGGGACGGGTCTCCAGGGGCGACGGGGCAGTCGGGGCAGAGAGGAGTCTATGGAACAGGGGGAAGAGAGGCCCAGAAAAGTCACCTGAGAGACCCTGGCTCTGTCCTGGCTCATCAAAGCAGAGGAGCGTGGAGGGGACCGTTAGCGTACGAGCCACCAAGGAAAAGGACTCGGCCGTCCTCTGAAAGTGCATTACATGTCAGAGGCACAAACACGCACTTCCTTTTTTTCTTTTCGAGTGTGTGTGTGCGGGGGGGGGGGGTGGCAGAGAGAGAGACTGGGCATTGAACCCAGGGCCTACCTTTTTTTTGTCTTTTTGAGACAGGGTCTCACTATGCAGTTCAAACTGGCCTTGAGCTCACTTTGAAGCCCAGGCTGGTTTCGAACTTGCAACGATCCTCCTGCCTCAGCCTCCCAAGTGCAGGGATTACAGGCGTGCGCCACCACGCTCGGCTCTACCAGGGCCTTCTCACTGAGCTTCATCCCCAGCCCTTTTTATTTTCAGACAGATTCTCACTAAGTCATTAAGTTGCCCAGGCTGGGTTCAAACTTGTGATCCTCCTGCGTCAGCCTCCCAGAGTGCTGGGATGACAGGTGTTCAGAAGCATCCCATGGAAGCAGCTCTAGGCTCTCGACTCCAGGCTGTGAGACCTCTGTCGGGGTGACCTCTCCCAGGCTGGTTCTCTTGCAGGGGAACCCAGGAGCTCCAGGCACACACTGTGGGTGACGGCACCTGCCTGACACCCGGGGGCTGGTGACTGTACTGGGCACGGGACCGAGTTAGGTGGGGGTCAAGTGAGGCAGTGGGGGTGCTAAAATCTATAACGCTTGATCCAGAAGTTAGACTGACTTCTGTCGCCTCAATGGCTCAGTTATTTACTTTTTCTTTTCTTTTTCAGTCTATTTTTGAGACAGGGTCTTGCTATGCACTTCAGGCTGGCCTCGAACCCGCGAAGATCCACCTGCCTCTTTGACACCTGTGGCGCTGCCACTTCTGGGGCTCCCTCTCCTCGCCTGGGGTTCCCCCACCCGTCCTCCCTCCCAGCTCGGAGAGCGGCTGCTGGGAACCAGCCGGGATCCGGAGAGGCGACCCGTGCGGGGAAAGGACAGCAGCGCCCCGAGGGGCGACGAGGCCCCGACAGACCCACCCCTGCCGGCGCCCCGGGCCCCTCCTGGCGGCGCGCACCTACCATGCCGTGCGTGTCCCTCGCGGTCCGGCTGAGCCCGCGCCCGAGCGGCTGAGAGCGGCGCAGTCCCCTCCCGTCGCCGCCAGGGGCAGTGAGGCGCCCAGGCCGCCGCGGCCAGGGTCCAGGCTGTCCTCGCCCCAGCTCCCAGCCGCGCCTCCAAGTCACGGCCCCGGCCCCGGGCGGCCCTGATGTCGCGCGTGTCTCCTTGAGGGCCCAGAGCAGGGCACGCACTCCCCCGCTCCTCCACCCTCTTTCGGACAAGACCCCCACAGTCCAGCCTGGCCGAGACCCCGCTCCTCTGCCTCCCGGCCCCCCTCACTTGGGTCCCTGACCTCAACCGCTCCACCTCCCGCCCTCGGATGGCCCCGTGCGCCCATCCTACCAGGAGGGGCTGGACAGGGCTGGGGGCCGGGGCACAGCCGGGATGCCACCCCAGCCCACACGCCCTGCCTGCCGCACCCTGGCTGGAGGTGATGGCACCAAAGCCACAGGAGACTTTGGGAGGGGTGGAGGGCACAGGCTCGAATGCCAGGCCCCAGGACCCCCAGAAACGATGCCCTCCATGTCACGTGCGACTGACAGCCCCAGAGAGTAGGAGCCCCAGAATCACATTCAGAGGCTTTCTGGGAGGGGTCAAAGACAAAGCCACAGGACCCAAGAGGCTGCACAGTCCTGTCATCCTAGCCATCTGGAGGCTGAGGCAGGAGGATCTCAAGTTGAAAGCCAGCTTGGGCTACATAGCCAGCCCTGGTCTCAAAAACACAGAACAAAAAGCTGTGTGCTTCAGTTGCCCTCCTGTGGAGCGGGCCGAGCGGTTACTGCTGTGGTACCCACATCGTGAGACACCCCAGAAAGCTGTGGCACAGGGCTGCCTGTGACCAGCTGTCACAAATGTCCGGTGGGACTGTCCCATTCGTGGCCACTGAGGCGCCTCCTGCCCCGCACTCAGGAGTCACAGTCTGGGCTTGGAGAGCAGGAGGGCCTGGGGGAGCTGCCGCGGAGCTGGCTTCCTGGGAACTCCGCGTGTAAACAGTCCAGCTCCGAGCGTCGGAAGCGCAGGGCCGCGTCCTTGGGGCCCTGGGGGAGGACTCGGGGCGCCCGAGCGAACCCCTCAGCCCACAGGAGCAGCCCTGGCCCAGCCCTGGAGCATGCCCTTACACATGCGCGTGCACATGCACGCACACACACACCACTGCACGAACTCTGCATGCCCGAAGCCTGCCAAGGCCCCTTAGGAGGGGTTCAGAGCACAGACAGGACGGGCACAGAGGGGCTCCCGCACCGTTCGCAGGGCAGTAACGGCCGTCAGAGGCCACCTGAGGCGAGGCGGGCCCGGCCCCTCCTGCACGGGCCGCATGGCCCTTGGTGGCCCACGTGGGCAGGGCAGGGCGTCCATCAAAACCAGCGATGTGCTGCTACCTCCTGCCACAGCCAGGAGGACAGGAGCCCCGGCTTGGGCGGGGCCTCGCCTCAGTGAGTCCAAGGCGGGGGCATGGGCGCCCACACGCCTGAGACCCCGGCCTGGCTTTATTCACGGAGACCCCACGGAGCGGGCAAAAGGACCCAGGGCCCCGCAGTCACGGGCCTCGGCCCGGAGGCCTGGGCAGGGCCCTCCTGCTGAGGTGACGCGGGTCCGGCCGCGTGAGCCTGTGCAAGCCCCTTCACGCTCCGCGCCCGGCTAAGGGCCAAACCAGCAGGCGTCTCGGCAGCACCACGAGGCTCAGGGGAGGTAGGGTGGTCACGGCGCTGTGTCACCGGGAAGCCGCCTCCCAGAGCTGCGAGGGGCTGCTCAGTCACCTGCCATCCTCTGTGTCCTCGGTGGAAGAGCTCAGCAGGACGTCTGGGCCGCGGAGCAGAGGTGCAGGCAGAGCTCACTGCAGAGCCGGCGAGAGTCACACTTTGAGCAAGAGGGCGGCCAGGGCCCAGAGACACCCCGGTGTGACGGCGGACAGGAGGACCGTGATTACGCCGCGTATCGGCCGACTAGCAAAGGAGTCACTTTGCGATTGCAAAACCTCTTCCCGTGCTTCCGAGGGCCCCTGTTCCCTCAGGGACCCCAAGCATGTCAGAATCTGAGGAAAGAAGTTTACAAAAGTAAGTCTGTAGGTCCCAGCCCGAGACGGGGCGGGGGGTCTTTGAAGGCTGCTTCCTCTCCTGGTGCTTTGGGCCCCGGGCTGCGCGGAACACTGCAAGCCCCGTTCTGGAAACGGAGGCCCCGCGTGTGTCTCTACATGTCCTGTGCGTGCAGGTCTTGTTTCTTAACCATCGCGTGCCATGTGTCTCACTTCCTGCCTAACTCTTGCAGGGTCAACGCAGGAAGTGTGGACTGCTAGGAATGCCCCCGAGGTTCCAGAGGGACACTTGAGCTCTCCCGGCGAACCCACAGCCCCAGGCCCAGACGCCGCTTTGACGACAGGGAGGGCATGTTCAGGCCACACAGTGGGAGCCAGGAGAAGCCTGGGTCCCTGTGGTCCTGAGCCTGTGTGACCCTCACCCCCCACAGGTCTCCCGAGACAGTGCTGCAGTGGGAATTAGAGAAGCTGCTCGAGTGACTCCTGAGGTCAGGTCTCATAAATAGCTCCCCCTGTAACTGGATGTGGCCCCATCACTCCCTCCTGAAAGTGCTTAGTGTCTCCAAATAAGCCCAGCTCGAAGCTCAGCCTGAGGCCTGACCACACTCTCTGTTCAGCTCCTTCTTTTGTTCTGTTGCCCCAGGGCCTTTGCACACTCTTCTTCTTCCAGGTGGGCCTGGCCTCCCTCCCCAGCTGGCCCTCTTGCCTCCAGCTCACTTCTGCTGTGGCCCTCAACCCCTGTGGCACCCCTTTCTCACCCTTTGTTAATGAGTTGCAGTCTAAGATCTTATGTTTGGTTGACTCTGTGGTTAGTGTTCCATTTTCTTTTCTCTCAGGTTTGGGAGTTCAGGGAGAACAGGCCCAGGTCTCACTCCCGGTGCCCCATACCAGGGCAGCAGGAGGAGCACGTGACACACAGGGAGGGAGCAAATGAATGAGGGAACGAATGAATGGACAGATGAGGACTCTCAGGCTCCTATGCCTGTACAGATTTGGGTTGGAGTCTGACGGTCCCACCCTCCTGCCTCACCCTCTACAGCACGTGAGACAGCGTCGGGCCCAGCTGCGCAGGGGTCTTGGGGCCCCTGGAGACTTGGACACTTCATGCAGGGGTGCGGGGACCGCTGCCCTGGGAGGCGTCTCACTGAGCCGGAGGACTGCAAGGCCAAGGCTGGGAGCCAGGAAGGCTAGAAACTAGGAGGACGCTGTCGCTCTGAGCTACACAGGTGGACAGGCCCGAGGGTCACAGAGGACATGGCCTGGCCACGGGCTGAAAGCTGAAAGGTGACCACTGGGTGGGGACAGGGGGGTTGGTACAGTTGCACTGTGGTACCAGGGACACTGTTAGATTTTGGTGGGTTTTTTTGGTTTTTTTTTCTGGTACCGGGAATCAAACTCACGACTTGCGCTTGCCAGGCAGGTGCTGTGCCGCTGAGCTAAATCCCCAGGCCCTAGATTTTGTTTGTTTGTTTCTTTGTTTGCGTCTTTTTGAGACAAGGTCTCACTATGCAGTTCAAGCTGGCCTTGAGCTCACTTTGTAGCCCAGGCTGGTCTCGAACTTGCAATGTTCCTCCTGCCTCAGCCTCCCCAGTGCTGGGATTACAGGCATGCACCACCACGCCTGGCATTAGATTTAATTTTTTAAAATCTTCATGTAAAGACCCAAGTGTGGTAGTGCTTCCCTGGTTCTCAGCACTCGGGAGGCTGAGGCAACAGGATGGTCATGGGTTCAAGGCCAGCCTGGTCCATACAGTGACACCCTATCTCAAAAAAAAAAAACAAAACAAAAAAAAGAAAAAAAAACAGCCAGGCATAGTGGCACACTCTTGTAATCCCAGCACTCGGGAGGCTGAGGCAGGAGAATTATTGTGAGTTCGAGACCAGCCTGGGCTACACAGTGAGCTCAAGGCCAGCCTGAACTGCATAGCGAGACCCTGTCTCAAAAAGACAAAAATTTTTTAAAAAATTTTAAAAATAAACTGCACAGCGATCCACGTGTGCTGGGACCTTACGCAGCGACAGCAAATCTCAGCTTTGGGGTGGCGGTGTGAAGGAGGCATAGGGCCCAGACCTCTGCTCACCGACGCTTGGGTTTTGGAGCTCAGACTGCCGGGAGAGTGATCAGCTGTGCACTGATTTAAAGGGTGCGCTCCTGCAATACCAGAAACCGACACTGGGTGGCGGCAGAGAGCTGCGTCGGCCTCCTGCCAGCGCTAGAAGCGTCCCTTCCCCGGCTTCTAAAGTTGACGCGTTTCCCTAGGGAACGCTCTCTGCTAGTAAAGCCCGGGTGGGCCGCTGGCGCCCTCCAGCGAGATATTCGAGAAAGTTCAGCTTTCGTGTTTAACACAACCCAGATTCACAGCAGGGCTTGAATTTCTTCGAACTTCATCTATGACTAATATCAGGAGCTAACTTCATAAAAGGCTCTTTTTAAAAATGTGGTATTGGGGATTGAACCCACAGCCTTCACAGTGAGCTATCTCCCCAGGCCTTTTCTCTCTCTTTTCTTCTTTTTGTTTTTTTGTTTTGTTTTGTTTTTTGAGGAAGGGTCTCACTATTTAGCCCAAGTTGACGTGGAACTGGAGGCAATCCTGCCTCAGGCTCCCGAGTGCTGGGATTATAGGCGTGCACCATGCCCGGCTTCTTTCTTCCTTCCTTTTTTTTTTTTTTTTTTTTGAGAGGTCTTCCTGTGCAGTTCAGGTTGGCCTTGAGCTCACTTTGTAGCCCAGGTTGGTCTCCAACTCGCAAGAATCCTCCTGCCTCAGCCTCCTGAGTGCCAGGATTACAGGCATGTGCCACCACACCCGGTCTTTCTTTCTTTTTTTATCAGCATCTCACTAAATCACTAAATTCCCCAGGCAAGGCCTCCAGGATGCCCCAGAGGTGGAGCAGACCTCGGATGCTGGAGCTGGGACACAGCTAGGGTGGAGGGCAAAGCCACCACCTCCTGTGTACCCTGGGACCCTCTCCCAGGGTCCTGCTGAGGTCCCAGAGCCTGTGTTCTGCACTCCCATGGGCTGTGTGGTCACGACGGGGTAACACGTCCTTCGCGCTGAATGGCGTGGGGACAGGAGCACAGCTCAGTGGTGGGAAGCCAGTCTCCCGTGTCTGATGTCCTGGGTTCGACCCCAGCAGGACGTTGGGTTTTGGTTTGGCTCTTTTTAGGGGACAGTGTCTCACTATATACTCTGGGCCAGCCCCGAACCTGAGGTCTTCCTGTCTCAGCATCCTGAATGCTGGCATCCAGGTGCGTGCCACTGTGCCCAGGCATTTTTTGGTTTTTGCTTCTTTCTTTTGCAAGCAGACCCATCTGTAATCTCTTTGGGATTCATCCAAGGGCCTCAGTGATACTTAAGCTCCCCAGGAGGGAAGGGGAGGGACACTCCACCCTGGGGACAGTTTGCAGCTGGACCTGCAGCCTCTCAAAGTCCAGGGCCACCTCCAGGCCGAGGTGGCTGGGTCCCTCCCCTCCCTGGGTCCCCCAGCATCGCCCCAGCTGCCAGCAGCCACACCTGGGGACGGATGGGGGTGACCTCAGGCCTGGGCTGGGGGTGGGGTGCAGCACTGAAGCTGCACCTTTGTTCTGGAGCGGGGTGGGAGCGACAGCCTAATGGGCCCTCCGGATGACCTCAGGAATCCTATTTGCTTGAAAGACCCAGGCATCTGCGGAGTTAAAGGGAAAGAATTTATTTTAACCTGCAAATTTTTCCTAGTCACCTAAGTAATATGTACACACTGTTGGAAAGCCAAATGAATAGTATGAATTCAGAAATGAACAAAAGATCCAAACAAAGCCAAGGTGGTAGCACATCCCTGTCAACCCACCACTCCAGAGGCTGAGGCAGGAGGGTCACCAAGAGTTTGAGTCCAGCCTGGACTACAGTCCCTTCAAGTCCAGCCAAAAGTGCAAAGCCAGATCCTGCCTCAAATAACAAATAAAAATTTGGAAAATACAGTTAGCTGGGAGAATGTGCCAAATTATGTACAATCCTGCCACCTGAAGATGGTCTTATTTCTGTATCTCCCTTCTTTTATTTTTTTTCTGGTACAGGAATCGAACTCAGGCCCTTGCACTTGCCAGGCAGGCACTGTGCCACTGAGCTAAATCCCCAGCCCCGTGTCTCTTTTCTTTGACTAATGATACATTTGAGCATTTTCCCATATTATCAGCTATTTAGATTTTTTTGCTGAGAGGAGGTTTCTCTCATTTGGATACGTTTTTCAGTCTTTAATGGGGTCATCGATCTGTCTGGGATCTTGTATAGATCTGAACCCTTTGTGGTATTGATAGTGAATATTTTTTTCTCAGTTGTGATTCGTTTTTAAAATATCTAGCGTGGCCTGGTGTGGTGATGCACCCCAGTAATCCCCGTAATGGAGACCACTATGAAGCGGCTCTGAGCAGGATTTTAAATTAATCAATTGGCTTTCTGTGTTTCCTTATGAAGCCCTAGGCCCCTTGTCTGGAGATGGGCAGTGGACTCGTAGTAAGTGAACCTCTGTGAGTCACTGGTCCTGGCTGAGGCCATGAGGCCTCGAAGGACAAGATAAGGCCACAGCTGAGGACCTGGCTCCAAACCCAATTAACAAAATAGAGACTGTAGCTGCAGGCATCTCACTCCTGCAGTGAGCACCAACCTGTAGAAAAGACAGTCTCCTAATTAGCATGATGTTCCACTTGGAAAAGTCTTTGTGCTGATCCCCAGGTCCTGCTCAGGTTCCCATGCTTCCCTCAGTATCTCCCCTTGATTGAAGACCAAATAAATACGGCCACCCAGAGAAGTTCTTTGTCTCAGCCCCCAGAGTCTCGAATTCTGTTAGAGAGTTTTGCTCCTTCTGGAGGCCTGAAATCATACAACTTGTCTGCTTTTGGGCCGGGGATATAGCTCAGTGGCATAAGCACCTGCCTGGCAAACGCAAGGTCCTGAGTTCGATTCCCGGTATCAAAAAGAAAAATTTTTTTTAAAAAGACCAATTTGTCTCTTTTATTTAAGCCTTCACCATCCACTCATTTGAGAGGTTGTGGGACTGATCAGTCTTCGATATCCCAGGACTCAGGAGGCTGAGGCAGGAGGATCATGAGAGTCCATGGCCACTGGGGGCTACATAGTGAGC